ATAGACTTGGAACACGGATGTCTGAGTTAAAGTGTACATCACTCAGCCAAACTTTTCAAATGAATTCGGTTGGAAACAACAGCAGATTCTGCTGAAAAATTGACTAAATTTTGGGGTATAGGGAACATCCAACGTTAGCGAGTCAGCAGAACTGACCAACGCTATGGAACGCAACATAGGGATTTATTCAGCTACCCTCCTTCTCCTGTGAAATTCAATTAGGAGCTTTCTATAACTCGCCAACTATCTTGTATATTATTCCCCAACGACGAACAGCCCCGAAACACAGCAATACACTCTCACGACGACCTAGCTACTCTGCGGTTCTACTGCCTGCTTATGGGCTCAGGCTACAGCCGTCCTGATAAGGACAACTTACTTTTCAGTTTGAAGATGCTTCCACTCCATAGATGAACCCGTTTTGGTTTCTTAAGAGGGCGCTACCTTCTTTTGGACTAAAGCGGTAACAGTATGGAAGCCATAAGCTTGCAAGATTTTGGCAACAAAGGTAATTAACATCTTCTACGAACCCATGGATCATCTATAAATAAATAAATAAATAATTAACGAAAAACGATTGCTACAAATCATCGTCAACCACAAGCATAAGCCGATTTTCTCGCATAAGGTTTCTTGAATAATAGGTTTCTAAGCCGGGTGCAGTGAAGAGATGCTGAACGAGCACACGGCCTATAAAAAGAAATTGAATCCCAACGACTGAGACCAGTCGTTATTTTCTCATCACCATACACATAACTGTAAGGGTATTCGCTTCTGATGTTTTCAAAATTGTAAGGTTTCCATTTAAAGCTATATTCTTCATTGCATAACGTTTTATTCCAATATGCTTAATTAAAGCTAGCCTAGCACCCTTGTATTCAAGCATCGGTCATATCAACTACCGCTTAAAATGCGTAGCTACCTATCCAAAACTTTGGCCCACAAACATTTGTCATTTGTAGCCGCTGTACAACATGTACGTTATTTTTACAGCTGGAAATGTTGACGGTGATAACCAAAATTTGAAGTCACGAACGCAAACTGAAACACTAATACAGTCATCTTTATATTTATTACCTTTTCTCAACTCCCCAAATGTACTAGTTATGGAAAGCTGTTTCTAGTAAATATGAGTAATCCTGAAAAACGTAGTTGAATAAATTTCAACGCACTGCTAACAGTTTTATTAAACACGTGCGATTCTATTCGCCAACAAGCTGCACATTAGAATTCAATATTTTGTCACCTCCGGTTGTGACCATCGAAATTCTCACATGTCCTATTATAGTATACTGCGCAAGTAAATGTAATTGTATTATCATTATTACACGCGTTAAGTTACTTTAGAGTTTTGTTGGGTTTGTGCTCAGCTACGTTCTTTAGTACGATTGCCCCAGTGTAATATTAATTCAAGACTGAGGGGAAATCTTGCACCATAGTCACCTACAGGTATTTAACAGGCTGTTGTGTTATAAAAAGAACCGGCTAAATGGTATCGGATGATCAGTTTTAAAGCTGTTTTCGAAGCGTTGACGTCTCATGCATTTCAGGCAGTGATGGGATAAAACGGCACTGCTTGCAAATCTACCCCCTTCGTAGCATTTTGCAGAGAAAGTAAGGTTGCTTTTGCATTGGAATGACTTAAGATCCCGCTGCAATGCTTGGATGTCGCAGCATCTAGCGTTGCCTGTTTTGAAGACATGGTGATCAATGATAGCGTCCCATGTGCACTGGTGTTTACAAATTGACCCATAATGACTTGCAAAAGTTCTCTCTTGTTTAAATCATTTTCTTGGCTTATTCTATCTAAAGCGCAGAAAAGTCACGCCGGGGCAAAACTGTTCACGGACGTGACTATTCTGCCAGTCCGCATCCCATAAAACTCATGCGATGAAACAGGAGAATCAAAAGTCTGATCAGAGCAGGCTCCATGTTAATCATTAACGGCTGCTCATATGAGTAGTTAAGTAGGAGACAAAAAGCGTGGCTGTTGTTTTGAGATAAATACTTGAATCGCACTCCCTGAGAGATCACAGCATGGAGATAAAATAGCCCATAAAATTTCAAAATAATTCAGTGGTTAGAAACGCATCGTTTTTTAGAAATTGATTGGTGTTACGGAGTAGAAAAGAAACAGTGAAAGGCCATAGCTAACAGCAGAGGCATAATGCTCCATACTAATGTGGCCTTGCGAAAAATCGCATGACTCAACTATTTCTTTCTAACCCGCGATGCTTGGGACTATAGCTAATGTCGTGCTTTTGACTTTGACAAAGCTTTTGACCATATACTTCACCTCATCTGACTGCCTCTAAAGCTGCTGGATGAAAATTGCTTACTGAAATGGATACATGAATATTTGGCTAAGGCGAGACAGGCCTCTGGAGTAGACGGAATCATCTGCACTAGATAATCCAAAGCAGGCGACGTAACGCAAGATTCAGCACCGCCTGTGTCCTCCCATCCTGTAGCCAAATAGCGTTGAAAATTAAAATTGATCAAATACGTTCCTTAGAAGTTCCAGTCCGAAATTGACCCGAAGAGTGCTGAGAAAATGGAGCACTATGTGATGTGTAATATGAAACTTTTTTTCAAATTATAGGGTGAAACGCAACCTGTTTCGCTACGCTGTATTTTGATTTTGAAACTTTCAAAAACATTCCATAAGATAGGTTCCTCTTTATCGGGCTTCAAGTGGCCCGAAGAAGAGATCATTTCACAGAACTGCTACACCGAAATGCCTGTAACAAAAGCTGAGCACAAGTGACTGTCGTTCAGCACTAACAGGGTATTCTATCGAGCAAATAAACTAATATCTGATCACAAACACTTTAAATGGCGGACTGATAGAAATCACCAGAATTATGGATCCCTTTTTGATTGCTCGCTAAAATCTAGAAAAAACATAATAGTAAGGGCACCATGCCGTTAGTTGGGTGTTATATAGCCCATGGCGTAAACTTCAATTTACGCCAGTTTCAAGACTGGTCATGATCGCTGGTGCGAATCGTGTTCACAACGACTGCTTGGTCGGTTATGGATTGTGCTCAACAACAGCTTTTTCAACTAACGCTAAAAAATAAGACCTGAAGTGGTGCAAAGGTAGGTCATCAGAACAACTTTTACCGATTGACGTTGCCAATTAAAAACTCAGGTCGGTAAGTACCGCAAGTGGAACAAAAACCCACCACATATGTAATAAATTTCCAAAGTTATCTTTGATCACGCCACCAAATGTCAGTTTTGAGGGTTTATTTGAGTACCGTTCTAGAAGGCCACTGTAAAAATGAAATTGCACTGGTGCTCTACAATTTCAGGACTTCCTTCCCGCTTCTTTCATCCAGAAGCAGTGTGTGCTTTCACAAGGTAAACTACTCACAACCGGTTTCGCCCTTCTTAGGGCTCATCAGGTGGACGCAGTCTGGGAGTTTCCGTCAATGTTACGTTCTACTTGAACCCAAATTGGACCGAGAAAAAAATCAGTTGGGTCTCTCGCGATAGCCAAATTGATTTGCAAATGAGTGTGGTTCTCGAAAACAGTCCGTGCTTCCTTCGACAGCCTACAGGTCCGGCTAAATTATGCTTGCTGTTCAGTCCAAATTGGACCGAGAAAAAAATTAGTTGGGTCTCTCGTGATAGTCAAATTGATTTGTAAATGAGTGTGGTTCTCAAAACCAGTCCGTGCTTCCTTCGACAGCCCATAGGTCCGGCTAAATTATGCTTGCTGTTCAGCCAGTAGTGCAGACTCGCATTTCGGGGCAACTACAACAGATTTGAGGTTTATTTCTTGCTTTCTGGGAGATCAGAAACTCAACGTGCCAGACTACCAGCCCCGAATGCATAAGTTTATTTGCAATCGACGTTTTTGCGGAATTCATTGGTTGTTTGTACACACTGGCAGGTATGATAAACCTACTGAAGTGTCGGATGAAATTCTATAAACATCCAAAGGAGGAATCGTTCTTTTTGTGATGACCGTGAAAGTTTACCGAAAGATTTATACGGGACAGTTGATTGACCCAGGTTTGCTTGCATTTTATGACACACCAAGCGGTCGGCAGTGTCGCGGTTATTTTGACTGTCAAAATCAATGAGATTCTTTGTGTCCCAGTCATAGTCATCACTAAACAACTGCCAAGCAGGGCAGCATATCCGGATGCCACTAAAACTTTGTGCCACTGAGATACGAATATCATTCAACACAACGATGAAAAATATGTACATAGTTTTCAATAGGTTTTAAGTTTAAGCTGGTTGGGACGTATATTCCGCATGCCAGAAGGCTGTCTGTCTCGCAGAGCTCTTTCCTCCCAGCCCTCTGCTCAGTGGAAGCGACCGAAAGGTGGAAAGTGTATGACCTGGCAACAAAGTACGGAAACACTAACCAGGAAACTTGTTCGGGCGGGCAACTGCCGTCTCCATGGATGGGGACCCTGGGACTCAAGTCACCAATGGTTATTATTGACATTGGCGAAAATGGCCCAATCGCGCAGTCAGTGGCGCTAGTGCATCAAAGCTATCGCCTTCAATGCGCAGCTACCCAATTTCTGAGCATGCCTTCGCCTCCAAGGCTTGGTTATATGTTCCACTTTCCGATTTTCCAGCGATCAAAACTGTAGTTTGAACCAATGTGCCTATAGCAGACGGTTTATAGCTGACAAATTGAACTGAACAAGAGGCCGGGATATGCCTTTTATAAACTGAATAAAAGGCACGTTCATTGAAACCCTAGACAGCTAGAGCGACATGTTTACTCTCCACGCTTGACTGAAAGGAGGTTAGTTAGTTGTTAGGAGAAACCGCAAAAGAAGTGCACAAAATATTCTTGCCAGACAGTTTTGAGGTGAAAACTGAAAGGCACACGGATAGCTATTTTTTATCCGTTATCAATCTAGTGAGAAGCAACAGTTCATTGTATGTAAGGAAAATGCCTGGTGAGTCCTCTACAGTAACAGATCCAAAATGTCTTACGTGTTGTTTGTTTCCTTCTGTTGTAGGTTGCTTTTTAACATTTGTGTATATCAAGACAGCAAACCGAAATCCACGTCCAAATTTGCCCACTTAATTTCCGCAAAATGCAGCCAGTTATCCAGAGGTAAGCCATTCAATTGTGTTTGAGGTCTTAACTGCCGTCATAAATTTTGGGACAGGACAAAGAGCTCTTTTGATGAGACGGTTGCCTGTGAATCTCGGAGACAATCAGAAAGGACGGTCAACAGTACCGGTCCGGAAGATCCGCAAGACAGCAGCTTATGTGGAACTACATCCCATGTACGAAGGTTCTCACTTTAGTTTCAAACCTCGAGTAAACCTGTCACAAGAGTTTTGAAAATGATAGAGACAAACGAAGACTAAATGTCGTGATTTCAATCAGGCTGTTCTAATCCTATTGTGTCATCTCCACTGCACTCAGATGATTGCCTTAAGTCTTCAATCTAGGAACTCTCGGTTATAATTTACTAAAAAGGACTTAGTTAATTCCTCTTATCTATTTCTGGTCCAGTCAGTGGAATAGCCAAGTTGCTGAGACCTATTTCAGGTTGAGGAAACTGATTACACAGAACTAGTTTTCAAAACGGTTGAAGTCTGTGTTACCAAAACGATGAAAATCGGAAGCATAAATCGTATTTTGTGCGCTAATTATCGGTAAATTGTCCACTATGTACGGTACTTAAGATGGGTTCCAGTGAGTTTGAATGTTTGCACGTCAGAACTGAAACCATACATCTGTGATGGCCACCTCTAAAACCGTGAGAAACCCTGAATTGTTTATGCTCGAGCAGGTAATACATGTCAGTACAAGAGGAGTTATTTTGGGCAAGTCAGTCTCATTAGGACGTCGCTGTCAGAGTGAAGTGAACAGTTCACCGGGATCTAAAGAAGCATACAAAGGTGGTCAGGTCTCTTTCATTCGGCTGATCGAAGTCTGGAAATTAAAGTTTCACACTAAATTTAATCCTCTTCGCTGACCTGCAACTTTACAGTTAAGGTAAATCCTACCTCATCTGCGATCTACACTATGTTCGTGAACGTCAGCTGTTTCTGAAGCGCTGAACAGGAATACATTCAATGCGAATAAAAAGGACCCCATTAAGAATGGGCTAGAACCACCGAACTTCCGGATACCAAAAGGTTTATAGAGAAGTAGCGTCCTAAGTGGCTAAGTTGGTAGCGCAACTTAACTTTTTAAAATTTAACGACACCTGTCCTAACTTCTTCCTTAAAAGAGTGTCACTTAACTACCCAACTTATGAAATTATTCCGAGGCTTGTCATGCGTAGTTGTCATTAATTGAGGGTAATTTAACAAGCAGTGTAAAAAGACTTCACACCAAGACTAGGAACATTGCTTGATGAAGCTTTGACCTAATAGTTTTCCAGGCGGCAAAACGTTTTTCATGGTTTGTATTGCTTCCGTGCATTCTGTGTGTAGGTTCAATTAGGTCTCGCTTATTGTAATGTAGGATAAAGTGTGAATACTCGCAGTCCTGCACTGTGCAATGAACTCGACAATTCACACAGGGAGAAGATAAACCTCACTGAAAACAAAGCCAAGAAGTACCTTGCTGTGCGGGTGGTATGTAGCATTTCACCCCTTATCGGATGAAATGTATCCCTAAGCTCAAGAGGTAGAAAGCTGAGCATAAATGGCAGCTCAACTGCCATCACTGTGACCTGAGCGTGACAATACAAACAGCCTCCAGCCAACTTACCAGTTGGATGTATTCACCTGAATATTGCTTCAAAATCGCTAACAGCCTTTTATTCCGAATGGGGTGAAACATGGAGTTATTCTTCACATCGCGGTGTTCATCTTATAATCAAAACGGACGTGCATGATTGGCTGAGTGCTATGTATTTCACGTGAACAGAGCGGACCATAGCAAGGATCTACCAACTTAGTGACATCGAAATTATTTTGGTCCAGGCTAGACTGAGCCTAGCTCACTGGTCCAAAAGTCGTTTCAGTTTGTGCGTGAGGCAGTGTATTCACACCCGATATCCAAAAGTTTCCGTCTAGCATACTCTCCAGTGGCGATAGCAAAATCAGCGAGGAACTTTATGCAGACGGGTAAAATGTAATTGCGAGATACGCTTTTTGTTATAATTTGCAAGTTTTCCACCAGTGTCATGCCCGTTTTACTTCAGTTGGCGTAAATCAGAAGCCATCTCATCCGACGAAAGTACGGACAAAAATCAGCAGGACAAGATCCTTAACAAACTGGCCACTAAAATGCCAAAAGCACCTGAAAGAACATTATCGTGTGTCACATCAGTGGACGTTGATCCAATCCAAGACAGAATAGACAATTTACTTGATGTGAGCAGAACCCTGTGGGAAAAAAGGAGAGACTTTAATGTAAGTTGAATATTTTTCGGAAAAGAAAGGTAAATTTTAACTACTCACATGATATCAGCAGTACACACCGTCAAAATGCTCCCCACCTGGAGAGGCGATTAAGGAAAGCAGGGATGCGAGAAGTTCCTTGTTGAAAAGCTACGGTTTACTCTGGATCTTTAATATAAAGAAGTAAAAACAAAGCATGAGTGGAAAAGAAGACCCCGCATTGACGTGAGAGAATGAGCCTACTGAACTCGCATTAAGTAGTAAGCAAGTCAGTGTCACCTGGTTACGAACGAGTGGCATTGTTGAAAGACGAAACAAGCTGACAGGAATTCATGCTTAAAAACAAACCGGTGTTACAGTTAGGCTCGAAGGAACAGTTCTACGGACATCTTAAGGGGCCCCGGGACGCTTGTCTCATCTTGGGCAAATGCACTACGGAGAAGTTGTAATTCAACAAGTAAATATAATTAGAGTAAAAACAATTTCACAGTGATAATGTGCTGTACACCAACAGCACGTAATCATCCAACCAATCCTAACGTAATGCCGTGATCATATCCGTATGTATAAGTGTTTTGCCTTCAGTGCATAGCTCCTTTTCCAACCCCCCCACTTGACAGCGCACTGATAGTGCTGGATTTATACACCAACTTATCAGTTCCTGCCTGCGATGCGCAAATACCTACCCCTCCCCCCAAATCATCGGTGAACGAAACTCCGGCAGCTACGACGAGTACGCGGTTATTACAGCTGACAATGATGATGTCTAAGTGTTTTTGGATGATTGATTCAGTTTTTGAAGTAATCTACCATTAGAGTCACCTTGTATCATGGTCGAACGTTGGTCACAAGACTACGAAGATCCGTGAGCCCTTTAAACCACCAAAAGAAATGTCCGTGCAACCATTATCTCGTTTGTTATTAACTATGAACGCGTTCTCTGTGCAACGCATTACGCAATTTTACTATCCTCCCAACCAAGGAAAAAATGACCGCTAGCTCTGAGCGCCGAGAACAATTGAAAAAGGACGTCAGCTACTTGCAAGAACGAAAACTCAAATGTCAGTCGATTATTCGGGAGAATGATGCAAAACGCTGGCGTGCTCTACAAAAGTTTTGCACGGACAATCACTTATGTGTGATACGTAAGAAAGAGAAACAAGCTCTAAACGCTGAACTGCGTAAAGCAAGACAAAAGTGAGCTCATTTACTGATCTACTGGTTTGTTGACGATTGTGTGTCCAATTCGTGTGTCCAATTCTTGAGGGCGAATTTCACTTTTGTCCTCTACTTTGAATAGCTACGCGCTGTTGAGTGCCAAGGCTGCAGATCTCAGAAAATATGAAGAGTACATGTTGAATGTGATCGCATCGTTACCTAAAGGTGAGTAGCAATTCAAAGTATTTCTGATTTCCTTTGCGGTCATTTTGTACATAAAGTATGGAATATTTTTCACTTCTATGTTTCCTTCTCAAATAGTGTTGGTAGTTCATAAAAGGTGATAAAAAATTTGCGAAATCCAACCGGAAATCTAAACGCTGCAGATCGATAGCGAATCAGGGATCACGTGAATGTCGAGATGGCCCAAGTGGTTAGAGCGTGAATTTACTGACCGGAAGGTCCGTTGTTCGAATCCGCCTCTGCCTCTCGACTTACCCACTCTAGGCTTGAGCAACCTGGAACTATCTCAGCCCTCGTGCTCCCTTCTGCTGGCATGGCTGTTAGGCATCAAAAATCGCTACAGCTGAACGTTGACTGTCAACTACTCGTACTCCTAACCAGTGTGAAGGCTTCCAGATCTTCAATTACGATTCTCTGGCGTCTTCCCGTTCCATTGTTCATTTTTTCAAGTATAAATTGAGGTATTTTTATTTCCATAAACTCAAATACAGATTGCAGTGATCTCACCTTTGTCGGAAATTATGAATTTTGGGATCCAAGCTTATGACATTCTTGCTAACACGTTTGTCTTGGTCTGAACGTGGCCGACCAGTCAAATATTTGACGATTTTCTCGTACAACAAACAATTCTATTATCTTGTTGTGGATCATCTAAATCAACCAACAAAACGGACTTCCAAGACATGTTTTTGATCGTCACTTGCAGGCAAAATGTCTAGCCTGACCCCTATATGTCAAAGTTGATTTTAAATTACTATGTAGCACTTTCCTAAACAAAGAAGGCCCCGCTGTTGAGAGGCTTTCCCTTATAAAAGATCTGGTATTCAAAGTTTTGTGAACCAGTAGATGTTTTTCAGGGGTGTCTTCCTTCATGAACATTTACCACAGTTCTATGCGGAAAACAGAATTCGATGGTTTATCATCATTCGAATTCAAGTATTCATGGAGAGATCACACAACCCAAAAAATGGCACCATTGCGTGGCACGGTGTCATCAAGCGCTGGAGTACTGGCAGGTTACCGAAGCTTGGAGAGTAACAGTCGAAAAACCACGGTCGGACTCGAACAAGAGAGTTCTCAGTCAGTAGCTCATCCTCCAATCTTTGAGCTACATTGCGCTCTTCGATTTGTATTCGTCGCTTGAGTTCGTCCTTCAACGCACAGCGACGCTAGGTGAATGAAACTCACTCCTAAATGTTTGCGTCAACTCTGTCCGAAAAGCCGTTTGGATGGAACTCAACCCTAAAAACATTAAGAGGTATACTGAAACACAAGATAATGCGACCGGCAAGCTTTAGTTCAAACAGTCAAGAGGTGACTCAAACAGACGAGAACCAAACAGACCTCGTTGATTCGGAGGCACACAGGCTCAAAGCCAGGTATCCGATTTGGTAGGCGACCGCAAATGATTTTAAACATCGAAATAAATCGCATGAAGAAGTGTGGGTGCAGCCAATCAGGCGCGTAATAAGTTTTAGCAATCTGCAAAAGTTTTCTCTGTAAGTTAAAAAAGTTTGTTACAATGTTCCCACTTCTTCCACTCCACAGTTTTTGTTGTTTTTGGTAAGGAGGGGTCGTGAAGAAACCATATTTTACTTACTCCGATTACTCTGGAGAGACTAGTAAACTAATTGTTCACAGTAAACGTGTGAATTTCTGACATGCTTTTAGGCGGGAGTGTATTTGCTGGCGCTATGGTGTTTTCGTATGATGTAGCCGGTGTATTCTTTACCCAGTTTGCAAGGGTCCAATGCAGGCAATCACTTTTTAGCCCAATGGTGGTTTTTGGCTGAATTTGCGCACGAATTTACCGATCTTTGTCTCACCCGACTGACTCTGTGAGCGAGGATGATGCGCTGTCCTCGGGTTCTCTGCAGCTGCATGTGCTTCAAACCACGATAACCGATCCTCCATAAAAAGGGTATTATTTTCAGCTTCAGATACCCACCACTGGTATTGCCTCGGTCGAAGACAAGCTTACTAGCACAGCACGAACACGTTCGCCAGCAGACTCGGACTTCCTGTAACATGGTAGTCAGTGAAAGATGTGCGAACCAGTGAGCATTCAGGGCTAAAACATGCTCATAAAAACGCGGAACGGCTAGTCGCTTTCGCGTCCATGTTTGCTCAGAACGTGGGTATGCGGGTCTACACAACGTACCCAATGGATGTACCGATGCCCCACGCGCACCAGCCATGCTGTGGTGAAGAATGACTGACTCTGGTCAGGATTTCCTGGCGCTTGTGGTCAAGTATAGGAAACGCACTCATGAAATTCGGAGATATTTCCTGAAAGTTCCAATCATTTGTATAAAATAAACTGACCCATTCTTCTGGTACTTCATATTTACGGAAACAAAGTGGATCCAAGAAGCTCGGGAAGGGGTTTGGAATTTCTACAAACAATTTCTTTTTCAGATACGAGGACGAGAATTTTGCCCAGTCAAGTATCCCCAGAAAAGTATCCACCGCTACGTAGATTTGCAACCTAACGTGGCGATTTCAAACCCCTCTGAAATGGCTTGAGTCTGTAATGGTCTGGCTCCCAAATAAGTTAGTTTACCAGGAGTGTGTAGCAAAGAAATAAAAATAATGACGCTAGGTTGAGTATACAAAAATAAAGAGATCAGATGGAACAGACTCACTAACAATTGTTCTCTTTAAAATGGTTCGTCGTTGGCCCAGGTCAGCGAATAAACAATAATCCAATCATGTTGGTCCAGAGGTCTTCTTCTGAACAGTTCCCACAAATAATAGATTCCGAAGATGTCTGAAATGTTTTGGTACCAGAGTTAGTACATACGACTCGCGAATGAACACTGCAAGCGCGAGCGAAATCGGAAGGGAGAGTGACCACGCTTGTATTTGTGAAATTGTACAAGTGCGCGATTTTGTAGTTTTTCGTATTCAAACAAAAAACGATTATGCAATTGATGAAATACGTAGTGTTATAATGGAAGTAAAACAAAGGTACAAAACGCCACACTACTCCCCCACTAGAGCGTTGACTGTGAAAAGGGAAAACGCTCGAATAAATAAAGTAACGAATCACAAGTTGCTCACTTCAAGTTTCGTAATCAGCTAAGTGCTGAGGGAAACGGACGCGTCGTCCGGAACGACTAGTGGAAGGAGTGAGGTTGGCGGGAGGGATATCTTGGGTAGGTGTGGGTGTTGTTGGGATAGCAGGATTGCTGGATGTGGTCGTGGGTGCTTCAATGTAGGCAGGTTTCAGGCGATCAATGGAGACGGTATCACGCTTTCCGCTTCTCTCTAAAACAAAGTATTTGGAGTGACGTTCGATAACCTTGAAGGGGCCATCATAACAGGGTTGGAGGGGTTTCCTCGTTGCGTCATGTCGGACAAACACAAAAGATGTAGAAGAGAGATCGGCTGAGATGTGTTCTGTTCGCGTTGATCGTCTGGTCGGTGTCGCACGAAGTTCGGACATGTGTTGTTTCAGACGGGAGACGAATGTAACGGGTGATTCGGGCTGTGCGCCAGAAGGGGAAACTAGTTCACCGGGTAGACGTAGAGTTGTACCGTATACTAGTTCGGCTGGGGAACAGTGAAGATCCTCCTTAATAGTGGAGCGAATAGCAAGCAAAATGAGGGGTAAAGAAGAGGACCATGAAGATGGGTTCATTTGGGCAGTCAATGCAGCTTTGAGGTAGCGATGGAAACGCTCAACCAGACCGTTGGAACAGGGATGATACGCGGTAGTCGATATGTGATGGAAACCGAATAGTGTAGAAAACTCACGGAAGAGATTACACTGAAATTGTGAGCCGCGATCCGTAGTAACGGTGGAAGGTATACCAAAATTACTAACCCAGTGTTGCAAAAATGAAAAAGCAACTGTTTCAGCTGAAGTATCCGAAATGGGTACAGCTACTGGCCAACGGGTAAAACGATCAATCATGGTAAGAATATGCGTGAAACCGTTTGATGGGGAAAGAGGACCAACAATGTCGAGATGGACGTGTGTGAATCGAGCATCCGGAACGGCAAATGAACCGACAGGTGAGTTTGTATGCGGAGTCACTTTACTGCGTTGACAGACGATGCACTGTTTGGCCTACGATGTCAGGTCCTTATTCATGAAGGGCCATATAAAACGTGCACTAACCAACTTCCCGTTTGCTTTGATTCCTGGATGAGAAAATCCATGGTAGTGGTCGAAAACAACGCGTCGAAAAGCTTCGGGGACGATTGGGCGAGCTGATCCGGCAGACATATCACAAAAAATGGTTCCGGATTGGAGGGGTAACGGAATTGAAGAGACCTGAAATGAAGGGAACGGTAGAATGGGCAAAAATTAGGATCACTGTTTTGAAGGTTCGCCAGCTTGGCTAGGTACAACTGCATGGAAGGGTGAAGAGCGTTGATGTCAGGACGGGATAGGGCATCTGCGACGACATTGTCCGAACCTGGAGTGTACCGAATGTCGGTAGTGAACTGTGAAATATAGTCGAGATGGCGTATCTCGCGTGGTGAATATCGATCAGGCTTGGCGTTGAAGGCATAGGTGAGTGGCTTATGGTCGGTTTGAATGGTAAACGATCTACCCTCTAACAAGTGCCGGAAATGGCGAATAGCAAGGTAAATTGCGAGTAATTCACGACCAAAAGTACTGTAACGCATTTGGGCAGCCTGCATCTTCTGCGAGGAAAACGCTAGTGGTTGAGATGTGTTGTTAGCAACTCGATGAAGCACGGCACCGGGGGCAGCGTTAGAAGCATCAGTCGTCAAAATCAGCTTTGTGCTTTCGTGAGTATCGGGGAAGGATAACTTTGTGGCCTGAGCAATGGCTTGCTTGGCTCTTTCGAAAGCGGCAATGGCGAAGGGTGGGCAAAGTAACAGATTTTTTTTGGAGCCGAGTAAATCGGTCAGTGGGTGGCTTGTTTCGAAAGCGGCAATGGCGAAGGGTGGGCAAAGTAACAGATTTTTTTTGGAGCCGAGTAAATCGGTCAGTGGCTTCAAACAAACTGCACAATGAGGGATGAATCACCGGTAGTAGTTGGTGATACCTATGAAACGACGAAGGTGATTTAGAGTGGCGGG